GTCAGATCCCTGATTCAAAAATCACTCTCATTAATGGCTACTCTTCTGGTCATTCAACTAGATCTGAATCTATCTTATAGTAATAAAATCTAGGCCACATTTCTTTGTCTTCTCCACATTGAGAAACTAAATTTTCCTTTCCCTCCCACCATAACTTAAAAAATTATATTGGTACCTTTGTTTCTGGATATATTCATTTTATTCCCCTACCCAGAAAACTATCCCTTTAACAAAGAAAAATAATAGGAAAGTGGTGGGGGTGGGGGGGAAAGGAGGGGTGGGGAAGCACCTTCAATAAAACTAGCCAATGCTTCTATGGAGTCTGGGAGCATATGCAATGTTATATATCCATAGTTCCCAACCTCTGCAAAGACTGAAGGTACATTTTTCATCTCTTTTCTAGGACCAGGACTGGTCATTGCAATTACGCAGTATTTAGTTTCTTTTTCTGTTCTTTCCATTTATATCGTTGTTGTCATTGCATATATTGTTTATGGGTTTCTGCTTACCTCACAGAATTGGTTCATATAAGATCTCCCTGTGCTTTTTCTGAATCCTTCATATTCATCATTTGTTATGGCATAGTAATATTATATTTATGTACCACAATTTATGTTGTCATTTCCCAAATGATTGTACCCCACATTATTAACAGCTCATTTTGTATAAGTTTTTGACTTTTAAGTTGATTTACTCAAAATAATCCTGGGATGTAGGTTGTGTAAATATTGTTACTTTTGTACAAATGAACAAAGTTTACTCTAACTAGCTATTTGACTCTGTAAAAATCACTCAATTTCTCTTAGTCTCATCTGCCAAATGGGGATAATGTTATAGTGCCTACCTCACAGGGCTATTGTGGGGATCAAATTAGATAAAAAGTATAAAATGTTTTATAAACTTTAAAATTTCTGAACCCCAAGTTGCTATTTCTATCTCATTCTATCTTTTATCTCTCATTATCATTCTAAAATTTCCTTTATCAAGTATTTATTGAAGACCTACTGTTTTCCAAGCACCATATTAGGGGTATAGAAGATAGAGAAAAACAGTATAAGACATGGTCTCTGCTCTTGGGGTCAGTCAGGCAAAATTGTGAGCTAAGTTTGTCTTAAGAAATTTAGACATGAAAGGGATCTTAGAAATCATATGACTCATCTGCCTTATTTCACAATCAAGGAAACTGAAGCCCGGAGATGTAGGGGGGCTTGGTTCAGGTCACTCAGCTAGTAAAGAGCAGGGCCAGAATATGTACCCAGATCCTCTAATGACTCTTTCACCTGCTATGCATTGCCTCCTCTTCTCTCTTCAGGCATTGGGGAACTTTTATGCTGTCTTAACCTTGCTTCTCCCACTCCATATAATTCTTGGTCTCTGACCGCGAGGAGTTCCCCATTGAATTTATGTGATAAGACGCAGGATCACAGACATTTTAGTACCAGAGCTAGAATTCCAAGTCAAGTTTTTTGACTCCAAATCTCTTATTTCTCCCCCCAATAATACCTTACTGCCTCTCAAATGAAAAGTAACAATATAAAAAAGTAAATGATCATTGACAAATAAGTGATAGAGAAAATAAATTCAGAGAAGTGTTTGGAAGAGGCAGAAATCACTATGGACTGGAGAGGTCCAGGAAGATAGCAAAGGTGGGTATTGAGCTAGGTGACCTTGAAAAATGGGTTAGATAGAAGGGGAAGGGGAGATCATTCTAGATGGGGACAATGATGTAAGCAAAGGTGCAGAGGCAAGAAATTATGAAGTGTATTCAGGGAAAATCAAGTAAATTAGTTTGTCAAGAGAACAGGGCTTCTGTTAGGAGCTAATGGGAGCTCCACTTTAGTGGGCGAGAATTAGAACTGGAAGGGGCTTTGGAGATCATCTAGCCCAATGCCCTCATTTTATAGGTGAGAGAATTGAGAGCTAAAGACACTAAGTGATTTGTCCAAGATAACAGGGCATGTAATCAAGCCCAGGTCTGCTGGTCCTAAGTCCCATGTTCTTGTTACTATTTACCCTGCCTGGGGTGGGTGTAGAATATGGGGGTCTTTGAATCCCAGGCTTGAGAGTTAGGTTGTAATATTTTAGGTAATTAAAGGCTGTGTAGTGTGGTGGATAGAGGCCTAGCCTTGGGGTCAGGAAGACCTGGTTTTACTTTTGCCTCTGCCATATATTAACTGTTTGATAAAATCATTTAATCCCTTAGAGTCCCAGGCAACTCTCTAAGACTTTAAGTTATGGAGGAGTTGCTCAGCTGTGTAGTTGAAGGGAATTTACACATGGGGAAGGAAATCCCCATCCTGATGAAATAAATAATAATTAGCCCGACCAAAAAGAAAAACATAAAAAAAGGAAAATTACTGAAGGGTGTGGGGCAGGGAAATGATATGCTAAAAGTAGCGTTTTAGGAAAATGGTTCTGTAATTCTGTAATTCAGGATGGCCTGGCATGGGGAGAGACAGTAGGGAGAAAGACTAGTAAGGAAACTACGATAACAGTTGCAGCTGATGAGCTGGAAGGGACCTCAGAGATGACCCAGTCCAACCCTCCCATTTTACAAGTGAGCAAACTGAAGCCCAGGGAGGTTAAGCGATTTGCCTTTGTTCAAACAGGCAGTGTATATCAGAGGTGGGATCTAGGCCGTGGGAATAAAGTTGAAATTACTAGGTTGATGATAGTGGAAATGAAAGGAAGAGATCACTATCGGAGATATTGCAAAGGAAAAAGGAAATATCACTTGGGGTGGGTGATTGATTGGATATGGGGGAGAGAGTAAATTATAAGATGATAACAAGGTTTAACCTTTAGGTGAGAGGTAGAAAATGGATGCTATTAGTAAAGTAGGGAAGGCAGAAAGGGGAACTGATTTGGAGACGAGGGTAGATGATGAGTTCAGTTCTAAAATTCTTCAATTCTAAGAAATGACAATAAGGGTCAAAACAGTGAACTGCAAGAATTAGGCATGAAGGAAATTGGAAAAAAATCAGTAGCAAAAAAATCAGTATTTCAGGCAGCCTCCCTCTCCCTGCAGAGCTCTTTTTGATCCTCAGCCTTCAATTTGAATATCCTTAGATGCCACTTTTCACCTCTCACAATGAGGATGACCCCAGGTTCTCTCTCAGTGTTCTCTCACTCAGCCTTATGGAATTCTGGTGCCATCTGCTAGAGTTTTGTTTGTTTTTCACACTCAACCTGTTAATCTCTAATGGGCTCCACTGAGTTTTTTTGTCCTTGGATGGTCTCTCATGGAGAAAATTGGACCTGGGTTTTCAGATAGCGCTTCCATCTTGGACTGATGACTGCTGCAGCTATAGGGGGAAGAAACCTTCTAGGACCCACCTGATCTTGTACCATTTCTATTCCTATCATGAGGCCTTTTCCACGGACATCTCCAACTATCTCAAATTCATCCCGTAGGTTGGCCAACTTCAATAACATATAGGAACCAGTTTCTTGGCTGTTTTCCTGTAGACCATCTTCTTTAATTGCCTGGTGATGGGAAAAAAATCAGAGAGCAATGAATGAAACAGATACAGAAATTGATTGAAAGAATTTGAAAAGTAAATATACTAACCCTACGTCTTCCTTCTTTGGTCCATACCTTCATATGTGTTGTCTCCCTCATTAGAATACACACTCCTTGAGAACAGAGACTGTCTTATTTTTCTGTCACATGCCCAGTGCTTAGCACAATGTTTGTCACATAGTCAATTTTAACAATGTTTTATTCATTAATTCATTTGATACCATAACTACTGATGATACAGTTAATCAATCAATCAACATTTATTATAAGCCAGGCACTAAGCTAAGTGTTGGGGATACAAAAAAGAGGCAAAAGACAGTCCCTTCTCTCAAGGAGCTCACAATCTAATAGGGGAGACAATGTGCAAACAAATATATACAAACAAGCAAAACACAGGATAAGGGGGAACTGATTAAAAGAGGGAGGACACTAGATTTAAGAGGGGTTGGAAAAAGCTTCCTGTAGAAGATGAGATTTTAGTGGCTGAATGGAGGATGAATTGAAGTGGGGAGAGACTTGAGGCAGGCAGACCCATCAGTAGGATATTGCAATTATCTAGGTGTGAGGCGATGAGGGCCTGCACTAGAATGGCGGCAGTGTCAGAGGAGAGAAGGTGGCATATTGGAGAGATGTTGCCAAGGTGAAATTGACAGGCCTTGGCAACAGCTTGGATATGGGGTGTGAGAGATAATGAGGAATGAAGGATGACTCCTAGGTTACAAACTTGAGAGACTGGGAGGATGGTGTTTCCCTCTACTTTAACAATGAAAGTGATGGGGGTGGGAAGGACTTGGGAGAAAGATAGATGAGTTCTGCTTTGGACATGTTTAGTTTAACATGGATGTCTGGATGTCTACTAGACGTCCAGTTTGAGATGTTTGAAAGGTAGTCGGAGATGTGATATTTGAAGTCAGCAGTTTGTGGCAGGATAGATTGATTTGAGAATTGTCAGCATGGAGATGGTAGTTAAATCCGCGGGAGCCGATGAGATCACCAAGTGAAGCAGTATAGAGGGAGAAGAGGAAAGGACCTAAAATAGAACTTTGAGAGACATTTATGGCTAAAAGGCATGATCTGGATGAAGATCCAGCAAAGGAGACAGAGAAGAATTGGTCAGAGATATATGAGGAGAACCAGGAGGTAGCAGTGCCCTGAAAACCAAGAGGGAAAAGAGTTTCAAAGAGAAGAGGGTGATCAACAGCTTCAGAGGCTGCCAAGAGGTCAAGAAAAAATAATATTGAGAAAAGGCCTTTGGATTTGGTGACTAAGGGATCATGGGTAATTCTAGAGAGAGCTTTTTTAGTGGAATGAAGTCAGAAACTAGATCGTAAGGGGTTAAGAAGAGAGTAAAAGGAGAGGAAGGGGAGGCACCCAGTGTAGATGGCCTTTTTGAGGAGGTTATATACAAAGGGCAGAAGAGATAAAGGATGATAGTAGGGATGGAAGGATTAAGTCAAGGTTTTTTTTTTTTCGGGATGATATGATCTAGTATATCCATTTTCACTTGTTTCCTCTGCTTCTTTATAGTTATATTGTCTGTTTAACATGCATATCTTAAGTTTTATCAATAATAGATCAACATTTAAAAAAAGTGAATGCTCTTGGGTCAGACTGATGGAAATGAAGAAAAGCACATGGTAGAATGACCAATCATCAATTATCAAGTACATTCAAGGTATATGCAAAAAAGAATCATTTATGGAGATAACCTGGATTTGAATTCTGGGTCTGTCACATACTGCCTGTGCGACTCAAAGCTGGTCATGGGGCTCTCATCTCTACCATGAAGGAGATGGACAAATTGATTTCTAAGGCACGTTTCAGCTCTAAATCCTATCCTATGATGATTCATGTTAGGAGACATAACAAACTAAACACTCACACAAGGCTCAAAAATTCTTTTTTGTCTTTCAGATTGCTGTATATGGCAGCATACAATAGTACAGCATCACCTAAATTACCAGTTACAGAATGCTTTATGATTTACTAAGCACTTTACATATGCTTGCTCATTGGAGCTCCACTATAAGGTAGATACCACAGATGTTATCTTTTTATATTTTATATATGGAAAAACAAGACTCTGAGAGGTTGAGTGATTTGTTCATCATCATCATACAAATAGTTACCTCTTTGCCACTCACACAGCAATCATCTTAATTCAGGCCCTCATCCTCTCTTTCCTAGACTCTTGCGACAGTTTTCTATTCATTCTCCCTGTCTCAAGCCTCACCCCATTCCAACCATCCTTCATACAGATGTCAACGTAATTTTCCTAAATTTCATGTTTGATCATGCCATTTCCCTCCCTAGGTCTGCTCCTGTCAACTCCCACCAGCTCTACAAAGGATCAGAGGTAGGATTCAAACCCAATTCTCTCCTGACTCCAAGTCCAGGGCTCCTTCTAACCACACCACGCTATTGTGACATGTCAGTCAGCTGCCTTCATATAAGGCAACAAAGTCAAAGCAAGGAGGAGAGGCAGCAGAATGAGCAGTACTAAAAAAGTGACAAATTGAGAATATGGTTAGCAAACCCCCAATGAAGCTTCAGCAGGCTAAGTGAGATGGTTTGTATATACACATGTCTGCTAGCTGTATGTGTTTGTGTGGGTGTCTTTGGATTGTTTGAGAGTAGTCTTTGATTAGAATGTTGTTTCTCCAATGCTTTAGGTCCCTGAAGTGAGTTTTCTTTTTTTATTTCCTTAAAGTGACATTTTTAATTCTTCTCAGTTCCCTCTAAGAGAGATAAAATGGGGGCAGTCAGATGATTCTAGGGAAGGCACACTCCCATACTAGTAACTGAGAATACTCTGTAGATTATAACTCCATTCTCACTGGATATATTTAACGCAGATGTGTGACACAGGGTCTTAGGAATCTATTTCGTCTTCCTTTTATCTCATTATAAGCTTTGCTACATATTGTTGTAGGTCACCACTTAACATGGCATGATAGAAATGAAAATGATAAATAAAAGCTTTTAACAAGACAAAAATATCTAGTGCAAGTGATTTCTTTTTTTAAAAATTTTTTGGAAGTGAGTTTTCTAAGGGCTGATAGAATGATATATTGCAGCTTCCATTCATTATTATTTACTAATTTCACATTTTACCTTTATGTTTTTAAGGTTGGACCTGAGCATTATGATAGTAATAATAGCAATATTATTACCACTGATGATGATGATGATGATGATGATGATGATGAT